TTCAATATTAACTATGATATACCCCTTTCTTTAAAAAAAAAAAAAGCTTTTTATTGTGAATTGAATGAGGGTTTACAGACAAGATCATCAGTTTTACTGTCAATAAATCATATGCTTTGTTTCATCTCAATGATTGCAATCTTCTCCATGAAACGATGATCCCACTTCTTCTCTGTGGTTCCTAGTTCAATCCTGCCCACCCTCCTGCCCTTTCTCAGCATTGTCCTTGGGTAAACGTTGCCCTTTTGATTTTAAGTAATTGATGATTCTATGGGGAGCATAACTATACTAGTGTTGCCCTGATACGGCCCCTTCTAATAACAAGCGTTTGTCGCCCTGTGGTGGCTTACATGTTACTGTGATGCTATGACCTATACCACCAATATTTCAAAGATCAGCGGGGTCACAGTGTTCAGGGGAGCTTCTTGACTAAGATAGACTGGTGACCTACTTTAAAAAATATTGGACAGTGTAAGCTTTAGGAAAAACAGCAGAACATCGTCTGATACAATGCTCGAAGATGGCTCCTGAAACAGAGTTGACCTTAATGAGGTGGGTGGAATAAATCTTTTAACATTTTCATTTTCTGACGTGACACACCTCAAAAAGGGAAGAAACTGCTTCAAACATCCATTAGTAATTGGAACATGGAATGAATGAAGTATGAACCACGGAAATTGGAAGCTGTCAAAACTGAAATGGAATGAATACAGATGGATATCCTTGTCACTGTTGAGCTGAAGTGGACTGGTATTGGCCATTTGAATTGGCCAATCATAGAATGCCACCACTTGTTTTCCCATTCAACACTTTATTCATGTTTTGTCTCCTGATGAAGGGATTTGCGATCCCTTCAATGTATCACCACTCTTCCCACTTTCTCTTGGTTCCCCGTTTCCATTTATCCTTCTTTCCTGCCCCTTCCTGCTTTCTGAGCTTTGTTTTTGGGCAAATACTGCCATTTTTTTTCTGCATGCTTGGTTGCACCAAGGAGTACACTGCCCCCAATACTATTTATTATTCACTTGTAGGTCTGTTGGTCATTTGGCTGAAAGCTGATCCCTGAGGAGTCTAAGGACCACAGACTTGGGGGAGTTCCACCAGTCTCTATCAGACTAATAAATCTGGTCTTTTTTTATGATTTTGAATTTTTGTTCTACATTTTTTTTCTCTCTGACTCTGTCCAGAGCATTCTATTGTGATCCCCACCAGAGCAGTCAGTAGTGGTAGCTGGGCACCATCTAATTCCTCTGGTCTCAGGGTAGAGAAGGCTGTGGCTCTTCAGACTAATTGTTTCCTTAAGTCTTATCTTTGATTTTCTCCACTATTCCTTTCTCTGGTTGGGGAGAGACTGATAGTTGCATCTTAGATGGCCACTTGCAAGTTTTTTAAGACCTTAGCTGCTGCCACTTACCAAGGTTGCATGTAGAACATTGTCTTTGTGGACTATATTATGCCAGTCAACCTAGATGTATCCAAAGACTGTGGTCCTAAGTCCCCAAGCCCAGCAACTCCTTCCCTCAAGGTGTTTGGTTATGGATAAGAAAATTTCAAAACTTTGCCTCTTGTATGCTGTGCCATATTCTTGAGTGTGTTTGCAACACATACAACTATAGATGTATTAATATCCTTTTCCAAACCTATATATACTCATGGGTGTACTTCACATTTACCTCTCATGTTTCTTCAATTGCATGCCCAACTATATATCTTGGTTGGTGGTTGTGTGCTATTGAGTTGGTTCTAACTTATAGTGACCCTGTATAGGGTTTCCAAGTTTTAAATCTAAAAGATAAAGCCTCATTTTTCTCCCGTGGTTTTCCATGGAAACTGGTAGATTTGAACAACGACCTTGCTGTTAGCATCTCAGTTTGTAATCCACTAAGCTATCACGGCTCCATAACTATATATCTACTTGTGGATGATTTTTTTCTTGTTACTACTAGTGCAGGATTGTGTATGGAATAGTATTTACCTTTATTTTATTTTATTCTTATGCACTTCCCAGTGTCTTCCTTTATCATGACCATGTTGTGCTGACCTCTCCCTTATTGTATACTGCCTTTCCCTTCACCCAAGTTAATACATATCTACATTCTAGTTAACAATTTACCCTTCCTTCCCCTACAATTATTGGTAATAATCAAAGAATGTTTCTTTTTGTGTGTAAAACTTTCCTTGACTCTTTATAATAGCGTTTTCATGCAGTACAAGCCCTTATGTGATTGACGTCCATCACTCACCATAATGCCTTCCAGGGCACCTGCTATGAGGTGTTGTTTGGCTTCAGTGTGGACTAGTATTCCATTGTATGCGTGTGCCATAGTTTGTTTACCCATTCATCTGATGAGGGCACTTAGGTTGTTCCTGTCTTTTTGTGAACAGTGCTATGATGAAATGGACATGCATGTACCTAGCTACGTTACTACTCTTGTTCCTCTGTGATGTATAGCTAGCAGTGGGATGGCTGGATCATATGCTGAATGTGTCACTTTTGATGCCTCTCACACATTGCTTTCAAGATCATTTCTATATTTTGAAGGATTTAAAAAAAAAAATGTTTTGAAACTTTGCAATCAGTATTTTAGTGCTGACATTCAAGGACCAGCAGATGTTTTGAGGAAAACAGGAAGTAAAATGCACAGAAAAATAGAATGTGGAGGAGAGAGAAGTAACAAAGAGAGGGGATATAGTTTAAACATATCTAGTTAATTTCTTCATGGGTGGTTTTGTAGAGTTGTTAATGGGAACATTCTCCTAATAGCTTCTTTTAAAGAACTGAAAACCAAGGTCATCAGTTGAAAATAAGGGGTTGCAGATTTGACCATTGAGGCAAAGATGGGAGCTGGTCCTTGTTGGAGATGAATGAGGGTCTTCCTTAGGACAGTATGGGACAGGAAGGCCCAGTAATGTGATGAGTTAGTAACTAAAGGATACGGATTTGTAGGAACAAAGTTCAGCCAACTATGACATATTCTTAACTGACACTGCCCAGAAGCAAACACAGCGTGGTCAAATTGTTGAGAGTTCCTCTAGATGTGGGATTATACCACGAGATGGAGATGGAGGGGGAAGGGACCAGGAAGTGAGGGCAGTTTATTTAAACATTTTCTTATTAGAAAACATTTCAAACACACCCTGAAACAGAGAGAAGAGTGTGAAGAACTCCCACATACCTGAAGCCCTGTTTGAAAAATCATCAGCATGTGACCAGTCTGACCTTTCTCACTTGTTACTCCTTGGCTCTCCACTGTAATATTTTAAAGCCAACCTCACGCATAAATTTATTTCATCTGTAAATGCTAGAGGTGTTTTAAAGGAGTATTGTTGTTGTTGTTGGGTGCTGTACAGTCGATTCTGGCTCATAGTTTTCCAAAGAGTGGCTTGTGAACTTGAGCTTCTGACCTTGCAGTTCAAATGGATCTTGCAGTCCAGCGCATTAGCCTGCATCGCCACACCATAACCACACTGGATAAAAAGACTGAAACCACGGATGCATCATCAATTGAGGGTCTGGGACCTTTACAAGGCAACCCTTGAGCAAATCCCATGGGAAAATGGGAAGGAGAGATAGGAAAGTGAGATGTTTGAATTCCTGGCTTTGAAGATTTGCATCATTTATACAAACAAGTACAATGAGAGGCTCAGCCCACAGTCTCTGCCCTCACACCTTTCCAACTCTCTTAGCTCTGCTAGTGAAAAAACCCAATGCAAGTCTTTTAAAAGTGTGAAATGAATGCACTCACATTTTCAAATTGCTCAAACAACCCAGAGGGTTATAAAATGACCCTTGGACGGTCCAGTTATCCACCAGATACCTAATATCAGGGCTCAGAACTCTTGTATTAATTTCTGGGCTGGCAAGTTTACACACAACTTCCCCCTACCCCACAAGCACAATTTATGCACATTTCTTCTCAAAAAGAGAAAAATAAATAGAATCACAAAATATTTCCTTAATTTTTGCCTTTAACAATAGAAATATATTGGAGATCTTTTCATTTTAGGACGTATGAGTCTGATCTCAATAAAAAATAAATGTTGCATAGCATCTCATTTCATGTGCCTACCAGGGTCCTCATTGATGAACAATGTAATTAGAGAACTGAATGACCATGCTGCACATATTTTTTTGCATATTTGTATTGTTTCTAGGCAAAATTCTCAGGTTGAAGGGTATTTTATGCACTGTTAATATAGTGATAGGTATTTTCAAGTTATTCAGACTGTGTCTTTGGAAGAAGAGACAAAATGCACTTCCAGCTGCTGCTCAGAAAGCTTCGTGAACAATCAGCATCTTTCTATTGTATCCAGTGTGGACCCTCAGCAGACATTCCGCAAAAGAATGTAGGAGGGAAAAGCAGGGAGTTACCAAGAGCACGAGTTCTTCAGTATTCCGTGCCTAATTCCACCTGGCTATAGCCACCAGAAGAACTTCAGAAAATTGTCCAAGTGTCAACACCAGAAATCCTGACCTAACGACCCAGGGTAGGGGCAGGATGTTGCTATTTAAAACATCACACTCCACCACCAGGTGCAGAGAGTCTAAAAGGAGCCGTGGTGGCACAGTGGGTTAAACATTGGACTGCTATCTAAAAGATCAGCCATTTGAACCATGGGATAAAGATGAGACAATCTGCTTCTATGAAGATTTCCAACCTTGGAAAGCCTATGGAACAGTTTCTAGTCTGTCCTTACAGTCACTATGAGTCAGAATTGACTTGATGGCAGTGTTAATTTTGTTGTTGTTTAGAGAGGCGGACATGTTGCCATGGTTTAGAATCGCTGTGGTAGAAATTGAGGTCCATGTGGGCAGTATATATTAAGCATCACTGAGACTTTGCCCTAGAAGCAAAAGAGAGGAGTGAAGATTGATTTCCTACACAAAAAGCTGAATCAGGTGATCAGAGTAGATTTGGGGGAGAAGAGAGGAGGGAAGAGAGGTCTTGGGAGAAAACCAAGAGCTGACACCAGGTCTTGTGGTACTTCCTGAGTGCTGCTCACAGTTTCTGCCCTTTTAGGTAAACATGAACTTGGTATTTAAGCCGTTTCCAGGCTCTTCTCAGCCCATGGTTGTCCAAGATCATCAGCACTGAGTGGCCAGAAGGGTAGGCTGCCATGAAGACTTTGCACAAAATGTTCCAGGGACTGTTGATCTGAAAGATGTTGGACATATAGAGAAACAGAGTGATGGCATTGAAGATATAGAGTATGAGGAAGTAGCTGATGGATTTGATGGCCCCTAGGTGGGCCTGCATGCTGGGGTCCCTGGAACCAGTGGCATTGCTTTCCATGTGCAGGGCATGCCTCCTGAGGGAGACGATCAGCAGGGTGGCTGCCAGGATGAAGATGATGAGAGGTGGGAAGATGCCTAGGTTGTAGAGAAGGACTAGGTTGACCATGTTGGTCTCCATGAAGTACTTCTTATGGGTGGAGTTGGAGGAGCGCATAGGAAACGAGTTGCTACAATCCACAGCATAAATGTTCTCAGAGAAAAGCACACTGTACCCCAAGGAAGTGAGCACGGATAACCACAGAAGCCAGGGCACCCATCCAGAAAGTCTCCACTTCAGCTTGAGGAAAAGAGGGTGGGAGAAGTCTGAGATTTTCACAAAGTAGAAGAAACTGAGCCAGGCAGCAAACCAGAGACTGCAATAATTTAAGAACATGAAGCTGACTTTGAATGTGTCGTTTACCACATCTAGGTAATAAAGACTTGGAAAGGCTGAGCTGAGAAGGATTTCCAGCATCATGAAGCTCTCGAGAGCTATTCTGGATGAGCTCAGAAAAAACAGGATCCTATCACTTGTGGCAACTGCCTTATTCCTAACCCAGTCCACTGCATTTACAGCCACGATGAACCCATTGGCAATGATTCCAATGACGCACTCTGTGCCTATGACGGCGAGAACGAAGGTGAAGAGAAGCGGTGGCAGTTTGTTTTCTGGATAGTTGCAGGTCTCTGGCATCCTGACTTCTGACTCTGTGTTAGTGTGTGTGTAGAAATAGTTCCTTGGTGTGATGGGCAGGTCCTTAGCAGCTCCTACAATTCACGCTCAGAAGGAAGCAGCTGATGCATCATTTCCAAATCCACTCCATTTGTTTATATCAGCATCCCTAGGTCTACATCTGGAGATGCAAATGATGGAAGGATTTGGTTCCTAATCCTCTCCCTGTGTTTTGACATGTTGATATTAGTTTAAACAGGGGTTCAGGCAAGGACTTGAATAGGGTACCTTCTATAAACCTCTAAAGTGGTATTGGGGGTTCTGGTGTGATGCTGTAGGAGAAGCATGGGATTGCTAACCACAAAATCAGTGGTTCAAACCCACCAACCACTCCTTGGAAAGCCTATTCAGGACTGCTAGGAGTTGGAACGGACTCAATGGCATGTAACAACAACAATAGAGTATTGAGAGCCACCAGCACAGACACCCCTCCTTGAGCCTTTCTACCTGTTCTAAATGAACACCTGCAATCTTAGATGAACAAGCTCCCTTGTTCATTACTCTGGGAAGTCTGTTTTACTTCTGTTTTAGGGTGAGTGAATTCCCATGGTTCTGATTTCCATGGTTCCTTCATTTGGGGAAGCATGTACTCTAATTGTTTCCAGGGAAAGGATGCATGAGCGATACATTTATTTGAAAACTTGTGTGTTTCAAGAAATTGTTATTCTCAATTAGTCCAGTGTAGTAATAGATCAAATGGACATCAGTCTCCACAATCCCGAAACCAAAAGAAGGAGATGGTGCCCAGCTTCCACGACCAGCTGCTCACAAAGGTATCACAGTGGAAGGTCATGAAGAGCCTGGGAGGAAAACATGGAACAAAACTCAAAATCATAAAAAAGACCCAGCTTACTGGTCAGATAGAAACTGATGGGACCCAGAGACTATGACTCTTTGCCACCATTCAGGTCTGGAAATGAACTCACTCATCCCAATGGCTCAGATTTCAGCCAAATGACAGGCACAATGATAGGGTGAACAGGAACACTGATAGGGTGAACAGGTGATAGGAGTCCTGGTGTGACGTTGTAGATAAGCACTGAAATCCTAACCACAAACCTGACTGTTCAAATCTACCATTTGCTCCATTGAAACACTATACTGGGTCACTATGAGTCAGAACTGACTCTGTGACACTTATCAACACCAATAGGGGAACACTAGCCCTGAGAGGTCCACACACTTTAGAAAGACAAGCCGATTGAGACCCATAGGGCATTTCCCCCAGGACAATATTTAGAAGGGTTAAGAAAGAGGAACACAGGCAGGAAGTGGGGGACGTTGCATTGTGGGAATTGTGATCATTGAATAAACAAGATGTGTGTGAATTGTTGAATGGCAAACTCTTCACCCAACGCACAATAAAAAGAAAAGAAAAGAAAAGAAAAGAAAAGAAAAGAAATCCAAGCTTTCTATATGGCTGTGAATAGAATTCCAAGTTGTAACTTCATTTTCCTTGAAATTTCTTCCTATTCGGAGTGAAGTCCTTATAAAAGAGCAGAGTACGCACAGATAACATACACAGAGGGCAGACAGATGCCATGAAAAGATGCATGTACAAACAGCCAAGGAAACTGAAGGAGACAAGGCTCTTCCCTTAGAGACAGTGATTCTAGCTTTGCTGACACACTGAATCCAGACTCATAGCCTCCATAACTGTGAGAAAGTAAATTCCTGTCCTTTAAAGCCACCCCTTGTGCTATATTTTGTTATGGTAACGCTAGGTATTGAAGACACCTTGTCAGTAATTGTTGTAAGCTGGGTTTTCTAGAGAAGCAAACCCAGTGAAACATACATATACACACATATATAAACATATATAAACACACACACATATACATATCTATAAACATATGCACACACACATAAACACATACATGCACACATATAAAACACACTTATCTATAAACATATACACACATAAACATAGATACGCATATAAACACATACACACATAACATATGTACACACACATAAACATATGTACACACAAACATACACATACATATATAAACACACACATAAAAATACACATATATAAACACAATACACATATATACACATATAAACACACACACATATAGATATATACACACATATAAACATATATAATCATACACTTGCATATAAACATATGTACACACACATATACATATATACATACACATATATAAGAGAAGTTTATTATCAAGGAAATGCTTGCAATTGGAGACTCCCAGGTCCTCAGTAGAGGATAAGGCAAGTCTTTCCTGAGTGTCCATTATATTGGGAGCAGGCCATGCCCCCAAGGAAGCATCCCTTCAATTGATTGGCTGCTCATAGCCATCCATCATAGAGTTAAGTATGCTTGTATTAGGTGTCATCACCATGGGAATAAGCACATCTTAACTGCTAAACCTCTGGAAATCCTGGCCTACTTTGGTTGACACAAAATTCTAACCATTACAGTAATATATTTTTGAGTAAGGTATTTTCCCAGTATCTTATTTTGAAATTGACACTTTCACTAAAATCTTCTTTGTCTATTGAAAAAATGGTCTTTCTAGGTACTGAGATAAATGTTGTCTGCTGAGTAAATTCTACTAAATGCAGGATATTCTCAGAGAGAACTTTTTTTGGTACTAAGTTATATATATACATAGTTTAGCTTCTATTTAGAAAAAAAAACTAAAACCTTTCATTAAAATATTTTATTAGACAAACTCACCAGATACATTTTCTTTACCCATGATCCTTTTGAATGTCACACTACATTTAAATTGTGCAAAACTGTAACCCTTCTCCATTTCATTCCACTATAATACAGATGTGCATTTATTAAATAAAAAATGGTCACTTCATAGAATATGCTTTCTTAAAATTGTGATGTTTACAAGCATAATTATTACAATTTTAGTTTCGTCCTTATTTGTGTGAGACTAAGTATCAATAGTCAATGTCTTCCTGTTTATAAATTGTTTCAATACTGTAATTTACTAACAGCTCTAAAATCTGACTTTTTGTTTTTCATTTGAATAGTTTGATACCACATTTACCTTCAGTTTTGCACAAAAGTAGTAAAAATTTAGAGTAATTGTTTTCCAAAACATTCAATATCTTTGTAACAAACTTAAATTAACTTACAATGTAGTTCTTCAAAGATTGACCCATGTTTAAAGTATGGTTGATGAGAAAAAGCATGCACACTTTGCTGAAGTGGTTTTGGTATTCAACATGAGATTTTTAGATAACTCTTGTCGACCAGTCGCTCTACCTATATAAAAACAAATGGCAAGGTTTATCAGTGACAACTTCTATTTTTAGTGGTAAACCATTCCAACTTGTTTAATGGCTCTTTTTGAAATATATTTGTTTCAGAAACAATTCATGGGTTTTTTAATTGAGTGAGAACATTAGTTTTTACTGTAAAACAGCACTTCATGAAAATTTGTATTCATATTAGTTGTTGTTGTTGTTAGGTGCCATTGAGTCAGTCCCAACCCATAGTGACCTTATGCACAGCAAAACGAAACACTGCCCCATCCTGGGCCAACCTCACTACTGTTGCCACGCTTGAGTCCATCAATGCTGACACTTGGCCAATCCATCTCATTGGGGGTCTTCCTCCTTTTCTCTGACCCTCCACCTTACCAAACATGATATCCTTTTCCAGTGACTTGTCCCTCCTGACAATATGTCCAAAATATGAGAGGTGAAGTTTGGCCATTTTGACCTCCAAGGAGCACTCTGGCTGCACTTCTTCCAAAACAGATCTGTTGGTTTTTTTGGCAGCCCTTGGCACTTTCAATATTCTCCTCCAACACCATAACTCAAAAGCATCAATTCTTCTACGGTCTTCCTTATTCACTGTCCAGCTTTCGCATACATATGAGGTTAATTAAAATACCATGGCTTGGGTCAGGCACACCTTAGTCCTCAAGCTGACATCTTTGCTCTTCAACACTTTAAAAAGATCTTGTGCAGCTGATTTGCCTAACGCAATAAATATGTCATCTGATCTCTGGACTGCTGCTGCCGTGCGTGTTGATAGTTGATCCCAGAAGAATGAAGTCCTTGACAACTTCAATCTTTTCTCCATTGATAAGAACGTTGTTTCTTTGTCCAGTGATGAGGATTTTTGTTTTCTTTACATTGAGATGTAATCCATACCCAAGGCTGTGCTCTTTGATCTTCATCAGTAAATATTTTAAGTCTTCTTCACTTTCAGCAAGCAAGGTTGTATCATTTGGATATCGCAGGTTGTTAATGAGTCTTCTCCTAATCCTGACGCACATTTTTCTTCATAGAACCCAGCTTCTCGTATTATTTGCTCAGCATACAGGTTGAATAAGTATGGTGAAAGAACACAACCTTGTCGCACACCTTTCCAATTTTAAAACATTCAGTGTTCCCATGTTCTGTTCGAACAACTGCTTCTTGGTCCAGGTACAGATTTCTCAGAAGTACAATTAAGTGTTCTGGAATACTCATACTTCTCAATGTTGTCCATAGTTTGTCATGATCCACACAATTGAAAGCCTTTGCGTAGTCAATAAAGCATAGGTAAACATCTTTCTGGTATTCTCTGCTTTCAGCCAAGATCCATCGGACATCAGCAATGATATGCCTCGTCTACAGCCTCTTCTGAATCCATCTTGAACCTCTGGAAATTCTCTGTCAATGTATGATTGTAGCAGTTTCTGTATTACCTTTAGCAAAACTTTATTTGCTTGAGATATCAAAGAGATTGTCTGATGATTTCCGTATTCCATTGGGTCACCTCTCTTTGGAATGGGCACAAATATGGATTTCTTCCAATCAGTTTGCCAGATAATTGTCTTCCAAATTGCTTGGCATAGATGAGTGAGTGTCTCCTGTGCTGCCTCACTTTCTTGAAAGATTTCAATTTTTATTCCATCAATAAAAATGGAATAAGTGCCTTGTTCTTTGTCAATTCCTTCAATGCACCTTGGACTTCCTTCTTCATTATCACTGGCTCTTGATCATATGACAGCCTCTGCAATGGTTGAACATTACCCATTTCCTTTTGGTACAGTGACTCTGTGTATTCCTTCTATCTTCCCTTGATGATCTGTGCATCATTCAATAATTTGTCCAGTGACTCTTTCAATAACGGAAGTCGAGGCTTGAATTTTTTCTTCAGTTCCCCCAGCTTGAGAAATGCTGAGCATGTTCTTCATTTTTGGTTTTCTTATTCCAGACCTTTGCACATTTTGTTGTAATATTTGACTTTATCTTCTTGAGCTGATCTTTGAAATTTTCTGTTCAGCTCTTGGACCTCCTCATTTCTTCCATTTGCTTTAGCATCTCTATGCTGGAGAGTAAGTTTCAGTGTCTCTTCTGACATCCATTTTGACCTTTTTCTTCATTCTTGTCTTCTCAATGACTTTTAGCTTTTTTCATGTATGATGTTTTTGATGTCATCCCACAACTCTTCTGGTCTTTGGTCTTTATTGTTTCATGTATCAAATCTGTTCTTCAGAATATCTCTAAATTCAGGTGGGATATTTTCAAGGTCATATTTTGGCTCTCGTGGATTTGTTTTCATTTTCTTCAGCTTCAGTTTGAATTTGCATATGAGCAATTGATGGTCTGTTCCAAAGTCTGGCCTTATTTTCACTGATTATATGCAGCTTTTCCATTGTCTCTTTCCACAGATGTAGTCAATTTGATTACTATGTATTCCATCTGGTGAGGTCCATGTGTATAGTCGTCTCTTATTTGTCTAAAGAAAGTATTTGAAATGAACAAATCATTGGTTTTGTAGAATTCTATCATGAATTTTCTAGCATCATTTCTATCACCAAGGCCTCATTTTCCAGCTACTGATCCTTCCTCTTTGCTCCCAACCATTGCATTCCAATCACCAGTAATGATCAATACATCTTGATTGTTTGTTTGATTAATTTCAGATGGAAGAAGTTGGTAGAATTCTTCTATTTCATCCTCACTGGCTTTAGTGGTTGGTGCGTAAATTTGAGTAATAGTGGTATTAACTGGACTTCCCTGTAGGTGCATGGATATTTTCCTATCACAGAGAGCATTGTACCTCATGACTGATCTGGATATGTTCTTTTTGATGATGAATGCAACACCATTCCTCTTCAGTTTTTCATTCCCGGAGTAGTAAACCATTAGGTTGTCAGATAAAAAATGGCCAATACCAGTCCATTTCAGGTCACTAATGCCTAAGATATCGATGTTTATGCGTTTCATTTCATTTTTGACAACTTCCAATTTTCTCAGATTCATTCTTTCTACATTCCATGTTTCGATTTTCAATGGATGTTTGCAGCTGTTTCTATTCATTTTGAGTTGTGCCCCGTCAGCAAATGAAGGTCCCTTGGGCTTTTTATTCCATTAGCCTCATCATGGTCAACTCTACTTTGAGGTGGCAGCTCTTTCCCAGTTGCATTTTGAGTGCCTTCCAACCTGAGGGGATCATTTTCTGGCACTGTGTCTGACAGTGTTTCTCTGCTGTTCATAAGGTTTTCAATGACTAAATATTTGGAAGTAGTTTGTCACTACGTCCTAGTCTGTCTTTGTCTGGAAGCTCATCTGAAATCTGTCCACGGTGGGTCACCCTGCTGGTATTTAAAATACTGGTGGCATAGCTTTCAGAATCACAGCAACTCACAAGCCACCACAGTATGACAAAATGACAGACGAGTGGTGGCTGTTTGGTTTTATGTGGAAATCATCACTTTAAATTTTGAGGAGTACTGTGCGCATGTGTAAATCATATTACTGCTGCATAACAAATCATTTTTATCTTTAATGATTACCATTTTCAAAAGTTTTAATAGCACCTCCTAGAATGTAGTTGTTTTAGACTCAACAGAAAGAACTTCTCAAAGTTTTACTTTATTTCATGAATTGGATAATAACCATTATCTGAATAAATTGGTTTTTCTATTTGAAATGTTCTGATGGAAGTGATATGAAACTGGTGTCATGTTGCTGAGAACGTTTACTGTTCAGATGAGGCCAACATGTTAATGTTGTTCTTGTTATATGTCGTGGAGTCGGTTCCCACTCATAGTGACCCTGCGTAGGGTTTCCGAGGCTGTAAAATCTTTACAGGAGCAGAAAGCCTCATCTTTCTCCCATGGAACAGCTGGTAGTTTCAAATTGCTGACCGCGAGATTAGCAGCCCAATTTGTAACCACTATGCTAATTTTTGTGTGCATGCACAAATAACCTTGACATTGAAAATGTAGAGCTTGGAATTGAAATCACTATTTGGCCCAATGGAAAGTCATAGTATCCTGACAGAGGAAATGTACTATATGCAGATGTGAAAAAAAGTGTCAACTTCAGACATTGTCTTTTGAAAGTAACCACGAATTTTTGAAGTAGAGACTGATCCTCCTTTTGCAGACTTAGGTCTGAGGTTTTCAGGTAATCAGTGGTATTGTTCTAGCCATCCTGGTAGATGGTAGCTGATGACAAGCATATTATGAAGGGTACATATTGTGATGGTGGAACCCCTTCTGAGTGGTACCCTTGTGAAAGAGAAGGGACAACCAGACATAGAGGAAGGACAGCCATATGAAGATTCATCTGCCAACCTACCTGGGACCACTAGAAGCTGAAAAAAATCTCCCTTAGAGACTCTGGTGGAAACATGACCCTGTCAACAAACACCCTGGATTTGAACAGCTAGCCTCCAGAACTTTGAGACACTACATTTAAGTTCTTTAATGTCTGTGATAATGTGACTTTGGTA